GCAAATCTGAGTCCATGTCTTGCGATGACTCAGAATTGCAAGCAAAAATCAGAATTGTGAGATTAAAAAGTCTACTTTTAACTAACTCACTAACCTTTCTTCCTTTTTCTCTCTTTCTTTCTTTCTTTCTTTCTTTCGCATGCACAAAAAAAAACAATTTAAGACTTTTTTTTTTTTTTAAATATCTTTATATTTATGTTCCATTAAAAAATGTTTTGAACAACATGAGGATGAGTAAATATCAATAGAAGTTTATTTTGTGAACTATTACTTTAATTTTGGAAATGACACCATTATGTAATCTTGCTTCATGTTTTATATATTCTCACACAGTATAAACGGCTCTTCATGTATTAAAATATAAAGTTTTATATTTTAGAAAAGGATTTGTTCCCACAGGAGCCTCATTCGAAATGCATGTGAATTCTATAGGTGCAAATGGGACATAGTTACCAATGCTATAGAAAGCCAGTGAAAATATAATATCCAAGACACTATGTGCCACTTCTGTCAAACCACATCCTCTGTGCTTTATTGGTAACATGTATGCATGCACACACACACACACACACACACACAATCATTTCCCAATATCACGCTCCATCAGTCGTGACATGGATTAACACTTCTTTCACACCTCTCCCACTTCACTTCCTCTGTTTTTTTGACACTTAAAAGCTCATATTTCAGGCCTGGTTCAGACAAGACAAGCAAACCCCTCTCACATCACAAAACCCTCGTGTTTCGTCACTGATTGTCAAAAGCTATATCTAGGCACACAGAAGCAGGCCACTTGAAAAATAATGTGTTTTTTGAACATTAAAGCATGTCAACATATTCTGTTACACCAAATACACAAAATAATGATCTTTAAAAAAGCATCATATGACCCCTTTAACTTTTATAAAGAATATCTCTTTGGATTTGAGACTTTAGTCTTTGCAACTTTACAGATCTTCTTTATGCACCAAGAGCTTGTAACACTCCAAAGAGAAAGGAAAAATTGAAATCGCATCATTTGACCCCTTTAATATATCTCAGTGCAACCAAAGAGCCTGGCGAGACTCTAGAGACCACTAGATTATCTGGAAAGGGTGTTTGTTTTCATCTGAGGAATCTGGAAAGCTGTACAAAGCATGTCGACACAGCAGCCGACTTGATGACCTTTCCTGTAGCACTTATGTCAGTCATAGCTGGATTTGAGAGTGGAGACTGGAGAGTAAAGAAAGATGAAGGGTTGAGGGCAAATTGACCTTGTGTCAGTTCTACAGGTTTAGTGAGACCACCGGAGTGAAACCCCAACAGACGTTTTAAGTAGTGAGTGTGTCAGGCTGAATGTGCTGCTGGAAGTCCACCTGACAGCACATGCACATACATACATTTCAGCCCACGGGAGTTTGAGATTGATAGGGCATAATTGCCCTCTGTGCACCGCCCTAGCTATGAATCACAGAGTGCGTGAAGAGGATGAAGGATGCTTGCAGAAGTGCGTGTGTGTGTGTGTGCCGGTAGAGATGGGAATCTTAAGGAATTTCGAGATTGTGGTTCTGATTACTATTCTTTAAAGGGTTAGTTCACCCCAAAATGAAAATTCTGTCATTAATTACTCACCATCATGTTGTTCAAAACCAGTAAGACCTCCGTTCATCTTCGGAACACAAATTAAGATATTTTTGATGGAATCTGAGAGCTCTCTGGCCCTCCCATAGACAGCAACGCAACTGAAATGTAACAGAAACGTAGCAAGGACATCGGTAAAACAGTCCATGTGACATCAGTGGCTCAACTTCAATTTTGCGAAGCTACCAGAATACTTTTTGTGCACTTTTTAAAAACCACCTCTACCAATTGTGCTCCAAATTTGGGTGTTATATTAGACAGCAACTTGTCTTTTGAAAATCATATTTCTCATGTTACAAAAACAGCATTTTTTCATCTTAGAAACATTGCCAAGCTACGGAACATGTTACCTTTTTCTGATGCAGAAATTACCTCTAGACTGGACTATTGTAATGCACTGCTAGGTGGTTGTCCTGCATCTTCAATAAACAAGCTACAGGTAGTCCAAAATGCAGCGGCTAGAGTCCTTAGCAGGTCAAGAAAATATGATCATATTACCCCAATTTTACAGTCTCTGCACTGGCTACCTGTTAAGTTCCGCATCCGTTACAAAATATTACTACTTACTTATAAGGCCCTTAACGGTCTAGCTCCTGCGTACCTGACTAGTCTTCTATTATGCTACAATCCATCACGCTCCCTAAGGTCGCAAAACTCTGGACTCTTGGTAGTACCTAGGATAGCAAAGTCCACTAAAGGAGGTTGAGCTTTTTTTATATTTGGCTCCCAAACTCTGGAATAGCCTTCCTGATAACGTTCGTGGTTCAGACACACTCTCTCTGTTTAAATCCACATTAAAGACACATCTTTTTAGCCAAGCATTCACATAATGTATCTCGGAACGTTGTACTTCAGCTATATCTGATCAAATGCACATTTTCATTCTTTTGCTTGGGTTGAACACATCATCTTTGCTTGGTTGGAACAGCAGCTACGCTAATTTAGTCTCTATCTGCTTCTCTGTTTCTGCCACGGGATTGCATCCCGAGGAAACTAGGAATTACATAAGCTTCAGTCTGGATCCAACCCTTACGAAGGTCTGAGATGACCGAACACCTGAGAAGAGATGATGCCAACCCCCCAGAAGACCTCAGATGATGCTAACCCTGGAACAACATATAAAACTACCAAATTTTGCTTAATCGCAACGTTTAATTGCAATCACAAAGTTTAATCGCACCATATAATCATTGCAGTTAATAGTGTTCACCGTCTGTTTGATTACGTGTAATTTGTAACTAACTGCATGATTCTTTCTGTACATTTCTGCCATAGTCACCACTAATAACCTACTCCTAAATGTAATGTAGAAACATTCATATTTTCTGTAAAGCTGTTTTGCAAAAGATTGGTATCGTGAAAAGCGCTATACAAACAAACGTGAATTGAACTGAAATTTAACTACTCTGATTGCGCTGTAAAAATTTGCCCAACTAAAAAGAACTGAATCATAATCAGTCATTCGTTGGTGAATTGGACTACACTGTAAAAAGAACCAGCTCATATAGGCAATTTGTTCTGAAATAGAACTATGCTTGTTGTTCTGTATGTTTTTGAATCACTGTTAAGAACAGCTTATAGGAGTCGTTTATTCGCAAATTAGACTCCTCTGGTCAAGCTGAATGTTTTTTGATTCACTGAAAAGAAGTGGCTCATAGTAATTCATTCAGGATTAGAACTACAGTAGTCATTTGAGAATTAGACTACACTAGTCGTGCTGTATGTTTTTGATTCACTAAAAGAAACAGCTCAAAGAGGTCAGTGGTTCAGGAATCAAACAAAAAATCAAAACAACCAGAATGTTTCTGATTCATTAAAAAGAATTGACTCGAGATTATTTCATTCAGAATAAAAACTATACTGGGATGTGTTTCTCAAAAGCATTGTTTGCTAACTGTGGTCGCAAGTTCCACTGAACTCCATTGGTAATGACAGAACTTGCGACCATATTTACTTTTGGGAAACGAACCCATGATTGTGCTGTTTTGATTCACTAAAAAGAACCAGCTCATAAGTTATTTGTTTGAGAATTGAACTACCCTAGTCGAGCTGTATGTTCTTAATTCACTAAAAGATACATCTTCATTCATTCGTTCCAGAATTATACTTCACCGCATGTGCTGTAGATTCAGTTCAGATACTTTTAGCACAGTGTTCTACCTCTGGCGGAAGAATAACCTTCGAGAACCTTTAACAAAAGAGAAATGTCATGGAAAAACATTTGGCTATGGTATTAAAATAAATATGTAAATGCTCTGTTCTGAACACTGCGTGCACATCACACAATAAAGCTCCTTGCCATAATCCTTCCCTCTTGCTACAGCTGCACACCTACAGTCATTACACTGAAACACTCCACTGATGCACTAAATTGGTGTTTTGGCAACAAAAATATCTCTCAGAGGGTTAGACCTTTTCAGACAGTAATTGGTAAGGTACAATATTGTGTTTTAGCTGGCCTGCGTTCATCCCTTCAGCCTCTGAGCTCCAGGACGCCACTGCTGTACACATTAAATTCATTGCGATATATAATGTCAGCCTCTTTAACATGTTGTAGAGTGGAGCATGACGACAATCTCTTGTTGCACACAAGAGAGCAGTGTGAGTGGAAAGCTCCCGAGAACAGGAAGGAAATTACTATGAATAGCTAGTAACAACATTTTAGACGTTTTTGGCTGCAGAATAATAATGTTTAACCTTGTTGTGTAAGCTTTTTTTGCACGTCTCGCTTCTTATTTTCACTCTTTGGATCCAAATTACGCTCATTAGCTGAAAATTGATATCACACATGAGTAATTATAAAGTTGTGGCTTCCTGTGGGTCTTTAAAATGTTTCATACGTCAACAATTAAACGTCTGTTTTTATAACCCTCGCTATGCATGTGTTGGCAGTTTGTAGCGGTTCATTAAAGAATCGGTCGTGGCCATGAGATTATTGACACGTTCACTGTGGCTCTGTCACTTTGAAACCTTGTGAAAACTTTCAAACTGTATTTTTTTTCCTCCTGAAATCAATGTCAAGGCTCCATCATGTTGCTCATTAGCGTACAAAGTCATTATCTCTTCTTGAGAGGCTGTTGTTTGGTTTAATAGCTAAAGCTCTGTGACGTTTTTGAGATCAATATGATGAGCCGCCGCTCCACTCTGAGGAATTACGGAAAGTTGAAATGTAACTCAATATCGAGTTATATATTGAGGCGTGCTGACAAGGCGACAATGGCAGATGTGGACCAAAACATATAGAGTGTTGCTAAATAGAATCGATTCTTGAATCACCATCAGTCAAGATGATTTAAAAAAAAAGAGCCGTCCTGTCTCCTTTAGTGTGCTCTCTGATTTCCTCTTCCTCAGATCCCCCTCTCTTTATTTATTTGCCCCAGGTCTCATCCAATCGAGTGAGAGATCCTCCATGAAAAGGGCAGGCTGCCAAGCCACGGCGACTGTGACAGAGCAATGCATTAGGACATTAAGACACCCACTCCCTTGCTGAAAATCAATCACACACTTCTGCATGCATTATGGGCAGAGAAGGGCACCCGGCAGATTGCTTGCTACCTCTACGGCTGCAGTCGGGCCAGCCATACCTCCATGTCCTTTCTGTTCTTATCATGCCCTTGTTGAAGAGGAGGGTTGGGACCTGAAGACGCCAAAACGTCTGTTTCTCAGGTGAAGAAGTGGCTTACTGAACGCTTTGGCTGGAAGGTTGTTATCTTGAGGCTAGCAGGGCAGCATGGGTGTTTTTGTGAGATTAACCCAAAGCATGTGCAGACTGTGACGCTAGAAACTATAAGTGCAGTTTTCACAAAATAAAAGGGAAAAAAATACAAATACTTCCCAGACTAGCTTAGACCAGCAAGAATTTCCAAGCTGGTCCTTGCTGGTGGACCAGCATAGCTTAGTAAAAATTAGCTTAATACTCATGTTGTGTTGTAAATGACTTTTTATATTTGAGGTCCCAAAGACACCAAATGATATACATTTGAAAATATGATGGTAATTTGAATATTAAATGTTTACTTTGCATTCAGTTTGTTTTTAATACGTTAATCTGACCTAATCAAAATATTAACATGCATTGTTGAAACATTTTTACCACAAAGTAGCCATTCATTTTTCAAAATTAGTTTTTTGTGTTATTTTATAATTTTTTATTAATATTTTCTGTAAGACTTTACTTAAAGCCTTTATGTAAAATGCATTATAAATGCATTAATTATGCCTTGTAATGTACCGTATAATGCATTTTACAATCTCATTAATAATTGTAACTGCAGTTAATACATTATAACACTTATAAATTCATTTTTACACTATGCATTTTAAATTCAGTTATAATTATTTACAATATATAATGTATTACAATGCACATTATGAATAATTATAATGCATTATACCCTTTAATAGCCCTTTATAATGCATTATACACAAAGGTTTTAAGTAAAGTGTTACCATATTTTCTAATAAGATTAGGAACAGCCATAAAGTATCAACATGTTTCTTAAAAGTTCATCTTTTTTTTTTTTAGTTATTAAAAAGAGTCTAGTACACCCCAAACCATGCAGTGTTATATTTGCATTTTTATACTATACTATATTTATAATTATTTTATACTAATTTATAGTATGACTTTTTTTCTACTTTAGAACAATAAAGTTTTTTTTTTTTTAGCTGAAACCGTGGTCTTTGGTGATTCATAAAAGGCAGGTCAGTGGCTATTGTCATTTTAAGAGGCAAAAAAAAGCATATCAGGCAACACAAAATTTAAATCTGTGGCTCCTGACGATATATTGAGGTCTTATGAAGTGAAACAATTGGTCTGTGCAATAAACTGAACATTATTTATAATATTATTACCTGTGAGTAAATTAAAGGCAGAGTAAGTGATTTCTGGTAGCCAATGTTGATACTATCTTTCTGTCGCTCGGCTCGGCTAATGTCCGTCCCATGCACTGAAAGCTCTCTCCTCCACATCACGAGTAGACACGCCCCTTATTGCTGATTGGCTACAAGTTTGTTTTGCTATTCGGCCCGAATCAGTTTTCTAAAGTGTTTTTGAAAAATCACATACCCTGCCTTTAACAGCAAATTTTCAGTTTTGGGTGAACTATCCCATTAACAATAATTGCCCCGAACCCCCAAAAGAGGTGATCGATCAGGGAAGTATTTCAGGTTAAGCTTGGCAAAAAGCCTGTTGGCCATGTCAGAACACTAGAATCCTGTGCATTGTATTATTAGTCTACTCTTATGAGCTGTGTTTGTGGTCTTCAGTTTGTCATTCTGATCATTGGTAGATCTCTGTATTGTGGAGAGTAGGAACTGTAAGTCCTATGAGCTGTCTAGTGAGCCAATAAACACATTTAGCTCAACTCAATTAAATCCAGTCCCCCGTTCTGTTTCATTTGTTCTCACTAGTTGTTTTTTTCATAATGTTTCAACTATTCAGGATGACCAGCGGCGAGAGAAGATGAGGGAAGATGATTGTATGAATGTACCAGCAAGTGCAAAATGTGAAGAAAGTGGATAAAATAGACGCTGCAAAAGTAAAATGACGATATGTAGCAACACCTGATCTTGAGGCTGCTTATTTACATGTAGATTGGATCTGGGCCACCTTGCCATACATCATTTTATTTCTGCGTGGTGAGATTTATTTATTTATATTTTATTTTTTTCACTCCATTTATTCTTAGTGATTTGACTCTTTTTCAACTCTTTCAGCCCGCTGCAATTTATTCTTTATGTTCCTTGTTTATGGATACAATCATGATACATTATTAATCATGTTCCTATTAATGTTACAGTACCTTCTTGTAATATCACACAGTATCAGTTTTGAATGGAGAGAATTGATCCTACTTCAGCTTTTTATTATTCTATGTTTTAAAAACTTCAGCTACTCAAAACTATTTAAAACACTATAATGGTGCACAAGTAGCATTAATACACAGAACATAGTAGTCAGTGATGGCCTCTTCAATCAGTTAACATCTGGTTATGCTCTAGGAAAGAAAACAGGTCTGTGCAAGAATAAATCTTTTGTAAAAAATATTATAACTTAAGTAACTTGCAAGCTGTTTTACAAGAATCCAATTAATGCATCTTGCTAACTAAAATCAAAAATGTATCATATTTCTCACTTTCATATCGTAAGATATTTTCAGCAAGGTTATTGATGCAATAAACAAACCACGTTGTCTGACAGCTGTTCTTGTGCATTGCAGGAATTAGATTTTTCATGGTGTAAAGTGATTTATCTGTGGCGCTTCAGACCTTTAATTTATTTTTAGTAGAGGTAATTAGGCATTCTGTGTCTGTGCTTTATTGTTTGCTTCATTAATCAAATTGTAAAAAAAAAATAATAATAATAATGTTATGTGGATTCTAAGCATGGTCAATTGTTAGTAATTTAAAGAAGCAAAGACAGGTCATCCTCTCTGTATACAACATTTAGCTTCATTAACTCCAGTTAGTACCTAAGGGAAACAAGTAAATAGTCATTTAGCAGATGCTTCATTCATATAAATTATAATCATATGTGATCATGTCCTGGCTTTATTCAGCCTTGAGTTAAAGATGTCACAAAATAACAATTAGATTTTGATTTCAGCTATATGCTAGTGCATGTCAGACAAGCGATAGAAATTCATTTTTGTCATTTGAAATGAAAATCACATGCTAATGTCGTCAAATGTTAATTTTTGGGTGATATATCCCTTTAAGTTCCTTTCTGTATTGCAAAATGGTGATACTTCATGGTTTACCAGTTGCTGGGTTCAAACCTTTGGTTATCAGCCAAGATTTATATGCACACCACACCAGTAAGTTGTTGCATAGCTTCAAGCAAAAGTAAAATTAATTATGACAGAAGTAAAAAAATATAAATATAATATTAGCTTCTCAAACAGAACAAAACGTGATTATTTCCTCCTTTAAAAATGGTGACGAGGCAACACATATCAGTGATACAGCTCTGTATGCACTTTCAGGATCGTGCTTGCAATGTTTGCTATAAAATTTATACAATGAAGGGGTGTCTATATTCATATATTTGTATATGAAATCCTGCAGAAGAAATATCGGCATTTGTTGAAAGCAGTTTAAGAAAATCCACATCACTGAAATGAGTATTGCTTCCCACGTTTTTTTTGCTTTGCTTCCTCTGATAAAGCATGAAACAAATAAACAGCTCGTAGTAGTAGACTGTAACTTAAGTCGTTCGTCTATTACTTTGGTCACTGAACTGAGACGGTTGCTTTGATTCCTGCTGCGAGAGGCAGAACCCCATTTCGGATAAAGCCATATGAAAGGAGCAGGTGAGAGAGACAGACACAATCGTAGGGAGTGACATGTTTTACCTGTCTTGGCACGTCTGCCATTACTTTGTTTCTGTGGCATCAGGATGAAGAAAGATGGGTTAGTGATAGAAGTATTTACGTCGGGGTGTGTGTGTGTGTGGAGAGACATTTTCTCTTGGATCACAAACCACTTACTGGCAAAGAGACAGGCTCAATCCAGACTATGTGACCCAATTGAGTGAATTAGTTTAGTTTAGATCCAACTTGCCTCAACACACCTGCCACAAATTTTCTAGTATGTCTAGTAAGAGCTTGATTAGTTGGTTCAGGTGTGTCTGATTGGGGTTGGCAAAACTCTGCAGGACACGGCCCTCCAGGACCGAGTTTGGGCACCCCTGGTTTAGGTATATGTAAGGTGGGAGGAGTTGGATCATGCCCCCTGGATCTTGTGTTCTGCAGTGAGGACCATCTCCGTGCAGACCCGGGAAAACTTGAACCCCCTCCCTCAAACACTTTAGCGGATTCCTGTGGATAGCATCATGTCGAGAAGACGCTGTGCTCTGCACTATGAGGGTTAATCCGTTAAGGTACAGTTAGGGTATGTTGAAAAACTCCCATCTCATTTTCTCCTCCAACTTCAACTTCATCGCTGCAGATGTACCGACCCAGTGTTTACAAAGTTGTTACAGTGCCACATAAGGGACATGTTTTACCACTCTGTATAAAGCAGTATATGGGTGTATCAGAGTTTTAATAGGTTTTACATGTTTCCTTGTCCATTTTATTCCTTTTAAATGTGTGTTTGTCTTTAAGAACTCAGACTCTCCTGTCATGTGAGCGATCACATGACGTGTAGTAGGAAGTACCATGACAGGTAGCAGGAAGTAGTCTCTCCATATAAAGGAGCAGTGTGGCCTAAGATAGAGGCCTGTAGAACGAATATGAAGATCATAGAATAGTAGGGCAAAAAAAAAATATTTTTTTATTTTTTATTAATCCAGTTATATTTCTCAGCCAGACTTTTGTTCCACACTCCAGTCCAGCAGGTGGAGGTAAAGCACCTATTAGCTGGTTTGCCAACCGCCAAAAACGCTTAAGAAGAAGAAGAAGATAGAGGCCTGACACCTCACCCAGGAAGCAGGTCGCTATGTGTTTATTGCCTGAATTGTGAAGGAACGCCTTGTGGATTTGCTTACCAACCAGGACTATTTTACACTTGCACTTTAGAGTATTACATCTACTGAATTGTTTATACACGGGTGGACACTTTTGGACTATTATGCACGGGTTGCCGTTGGACTGTTGTAGGGTATGAACTGAAAGACTCTTTTAGCAGTCCCCAATTCTCAATGTATACGGTGTTGTTTTAGTTGCGTGTCATTGTTTTGTGTAAATACACTACTGTTGTTTTATATCTGCCGTCCTGCTGTCTTTAATCTACTCACCCAACATCTAAACATTTTAAACAATTCTTTGTTTTAAATCGTGTAGCCTCAGCCTATAGGGCCGAGTGTTACAAAGTGAACGTGCAAGGAGGGTCAAACACCCTTTACAAGAAAAGGTTTAGATAAGACCCTTATTCCTCGGCTGGGATCATTTAGAGCCCTTTGAAGCTACATTGAAACTTCGTTTTTAACCTTCAATCCGTTGAGCACCATTGAAGTCCACTATATGGAGAAAAATCCTGGAATGTTTTCCTCAAAAAACTTAATTTATTTGCGACTAAAGAAAGACATGAATATCTTGGATGACATGGGGGTGAGTAAATTATCAGGAAATTTTTATTCTGAAAGTGGATTAATCCTTCAAAAATTGTTGATCTCATGTACTCTGTAGCATACAAAATACGTATTAAGTTGTGTGTGTTGTGTTCGCTCCGCGCAGCTTGTAGGTCTCTGGCTAACCGGCTAACATCAATATCCGTTCGCTCGCAATTGTCTAGAAATGTGTCGATGAATAGTGAATGTTTGTCGTTATTACTTGGAGTTATGAGAAAGAATAGAGCAATACGTTGGTGTACAAACTGCAGTGCTTTATCAATACGTTTCTGTTTTGGGCTATCGCATATTCCATGGCTGTTTGGGTGTTTAATGTAATGGTGATGGGCGTTCCGTTTCCGACATGCGCTGCAAGCAGTAGACCAATCACAACAGACTGGATCATCGGACCAATCACCGCAGATTAGTGTCACGCAAAGGAGGGGTTTGGAAAAATGAATCGTTGAGCGAATCGTTTGGGAGCCGTTGAGCAAATAAGGTCAAAATAAATGCATATTATAAGACAATGAAAGTGTTTGGGGTTTTTTTTGACCTTGCATGCATGTCAACCTGTTATTGGGGACTCCCAAAACCAAAATATGAACCTTTCACTACACATAATAGGGGCTTTTTAAGATTACTGATCTTGTGTGTGACTATTTTTTTTTCAATTA